TAAATCTTCAATTTTGTTGATCTTAAATGCACTCAGTCCTTCCGAGCTTCTAATCAAGTTACTGCACAAAAAAAATGATTTCCTTATTGCCTACCGTTGCAAAACAGTGACACATTTTAGCAAAAACATGATTAATGATTCTAATTTATATTGGAAATTTCGAAATCATTTAAAGAATATTCAAATGTGGGCTTACGATCCTGATATTTCCAAATTTGTTTTTTAGTGATCTGGAATATCAATAAATTAGCATCAAAATGTAAACATTTTTTAGCTTATTACTATAAAAGCTGATAATAACAAACAACACGACTGATAATAAGCAATAGCGTTTCCTGCATATGTAGTAATGAGATGTCAATGCCACCAGTCAATCTGCATTATTTTGTCTTATTTAAAAAAAATCTTATTTGAAATCCAAAGACTTCACGAACGTGGATCCCAGACTGACGATGGAGACAGGAATTTCCTATATATTAAAACCGATGGCAGAAAATCAATTAAAAACATTTCGAGAATATTTTATTGCATGAACAGTCCTACAGAGTAATGAGTGCATTGATCAGTTTAAAATTCTAACATAATTAATTCAAAATTGTCAACTATTGGATAAATATTATATATTATATTATCCGGTAACTACAGATACCGGGAGCGCAGCCGTGCACCACCAATTTTGTGCACCAAAAAGCCCTGAATCGAACTCCGCGGATCTCTCCGGACATCCACCAATCAGCCGAGAACCACTCGGCTTTGTCCTCCTCCGGCCTTGCATAAAGCCTGCCGTGCACCAACAGGCCGCGGATCGGATATGACTTCCGGGCATCGTTAAATTACGCAATTTTATGTTCACCGCATCTGAGGTTAGATTTCGGATGGCATAGTTCTGTTCCAAAATTTATCGTCCTTCGACGAGTGGCCGTTCGGGACCGCAACCGTGCACCACCAATTTTGTGCACCAATAAGCTCTGAATCGACCGCCTTGGTCCTCTCCGGACATCCTCCAATCAGCCGTAAACCACTCGGCTTTGTCTTCCTCCGGCCTTGCATAGAACCTGCCGTGCACCACCAGGCCGCGGATCGAATATGACTTCCGGGCATAGTTAAATTACGTAATTTTACGTTCACTGCATCTGAGGTTAGGTTTCAGATAGCATAGTTCTGTTCCAAAATTTATCGTCCTTCGACGAGTGGCCGATCGACCGAGGGCTGGTTCGACGCACGGCCATATAGATATGATTGCCCAGAAGTGTTGAAGGCTACGTTCCGGAAGGCAGGAATCATGATGGTCCATCACATCCAGGGTAGTGGTGGTCTTCGGCAGGCGACCCCAGATACGCACTCAACACTGACGGGCATTCTGTATTTTTGGACATGCTTGAACTCATGATTTTAATTAATTACTTTTTTGAAATTTCGATTAGTGAAATAGGATTCGTAATAATACAATACGGTTTTTTTATTAAAAATGGCAATTGTTATAATTAGCTTGCACAATTACAATTATAATTGTGCCATTGAGTAGAGAAAAAAGGAGGATAACTAGTCGAGACAGCAATGTATATTATCCATAAAAATTATTTCAGTGTAACAAACAATCCATTATCAGTCCTCATATAATTAATCTGATGAATATTAAACATATTCATTCTGAGCAAGAAAATAAATTTATAGTGAGCTTTATCATTACTTATAGCAAATCATTTCACAATCGAAAGTCATGCGTTGTAGTAAAATACCGTGACTTCTGTAATGTTGATAAAATGGCATAAAATGGCATAAAATTTTCAATTAACATTTAATATAAAAAGTAATTCTAAATTCTGCGGTTCAAGGCGCATTTTGAGTCGCGCATTTTGTTTGCATTATAATTTAGAAACAAGCGACAACAGGCATATGGGAAACCCGATGGTCTGTGGATAAAAACTCGTTTGACTGCAAGCAATAATGCGAAAAAATATAACTCAGTACTCACTGCAGTGAGTGACAGATCGCGCATTTTCTCGTCGACGAAAACGTGAAGTCATCGACGGACGGACGGACTGACGGACGGACGGACGGACGGACATACGGACATGGGGAGCACTATAGTGCATTTTTTCCATAAATGAGAAAATGCGCTAAAAAGAGAGCAAAATAATCGATTGAAAAAAATCCCGGTATCTAGAGAGGCTTAGTTTCAAGGCAACAACTATACAATTAAATTCTTATAGCGTTGCAGTAAAATACCGTGACTTCAGTAATGTTGATAACTTTACAATGGCAAGAAACTGAAAATCATTTTTCTTAGTTAATTTATCCGGTCATAATTAATTTGGCATTTTCTTAGTTAATTGATCCGGAGCACTTCAATGTTTCCGTGGGCGGAACTCTTTAATAAATGACTCTGGTAGAGCTAAGCAAAGTTCACATTAGGACTACTATAATTCCATAATGACACACTTTGATAATGTGGTATTTGATGTAAATACTCTTATCAATTCAAATGCAAGGGGAATAATACAAAGAGCTGGAAAAAATTTCAATTTTATACTCCGTGCCACCATGGAGATACACACGCCACCTGGGCAGCCATACATTTCGAGGTCAATTATTATCAATTATCAAATAATTTTTTTAATTCGATGAATTTTTTTCAATTCAATTTAATTTTCAATTCAATGTGGAGCTTTTCCTCGAGCCATCGGGGTAACCACTTTTCTTCTATAAAAAAATTTTTGATTGATTAACAGGAAGCTCTTCAGAAGAGGTATGGTACGAAGACAATTAAATAAATATATATCTTTAAATTAAGAATATTCAGCAAATTTTTTAGTCAAGTAAAGCTTGAGCGAATTTTTTTAAAGAACTTAATACTGCAACAAGTTTATAACAAACGCTCGACGCACGGTTTTCGCCGAAGGAAATAGTACATTTAACGTTCAGAATAATTTTTGCACTGAATTTTCCTGCACGAACACTGCATCAATTATTCTAACTTCGCAAGCATGGAATTCTTGAAATAATTCTAATAGTTTTTGAGGAACGAATTTCGATTACTAAAGTGAAAAAAAAAATCGAGGGAAAATCCTGACAAAATTCAATAATGCTGCCGACTACGTTTAAGAATGAGATATCGACGTTTTTTTCACGTTCATATTCGGGTCTACATATATTAACTATACTTTTTCAATGTAACATTTGAGTATTGTGATGGGAAAAAATGAACTATCGCTTATACGCTTGTTTGCGATGAAAACAACATTTTAAAAGGTAACTAAAATTAGAACAATTTTTAAGCCCACAAGTTTGAAACTTGACATGAGAATATCGATTGGATTTTAAAATAATTATTCCCAAATGAACTTTAGCAAAATCCAGCCATAAGTTACCCTAGCTGTAATATATCAAAAATTTGTCGCTTGCAGTCATTTCAGCCAAATTTTTATTTGTACCAACGTTCCATTGTAAAGTCTATAGTCCCGCTCGTATTTCCCCGCTATTACCTTAAACCTATCTTTCGAATTCCCTTTTTCTCATGGATAAAACTTCTTTGTTCTCTCTCCGCTGAGACAAAATTTCATAGTTTCTTCGCGATTGATACAAAATTTAAGCGGTTCCTTTCCCGTTCAACCATCTGATCTAAGGGATGGCAGTGAAGGCAACCTACTAAAATTTAACCGGTGCCTTCCAGTTCAACCATAGTATATAAGGGATGTCCATTGAGGACAACCTCCTACATGTGGTCAATCAAGTGATCCGAGTGATCGCAGTTAGGGCAACCTAGTAAATTTTAAACAATTTCTATCCCATTAAACCCTCTGATCTGAGTGATCGCAGTGAGGGCAACCCTCTATAACATGTGTCGAGTGGTCAACCAACCGATTAAAGTTAGTCAAGTAATGTGGTATTCAATTATTTTACTGATTATAGTCAGTCAAGTAATGTGGTGTTCAATTATTTTACTGATAACAGTCAGCCAAGCAATGTGGTATTCAATTATTTTACTGATTATAGTCAGCCAAGTGATATAGAATTTAAATTTTAAGGGCTTTTAGTCCACCAGTAACGTTGTATTCCATTTTTTGACGGATTTCAGTTTACTGATAAATGTGGTTCTCAAATTTTTAGTTCATATTTGTTCAATAATTAAAATTAATCTTCAATTTGTTGAGACCGGGCAGACGCTTCATGGATTCCGGAAACCTCCTTACTCGCACGTAAAAAATAATTGTTCCATCGATGTACAATTTTTTAATGGATTAATAACCTTGTGATTAAATTACATAGGCGTGTCAATTCTTCTACGTTATTTTCCTTGAATTTTCACTGTTCGTAAATTTCCTCAATTGTCTATCAAAATTTCGTATACCTGGGAAACTTGCCACCAAATTTGTAATGTTGTCTGCAATAATAATCAGTCCCTAAAAACATCTCAGTTTCTTGGCTTGAGCGACAAATATACATACATACGTTCTTTTCAACATAATGTATATTCAAAACCGTGTCTTTTTCTGACTTCCTGCACCAATAGGTCTTTTCATTAAATTTTGCCGCTTTAGAAAAAATTCTAATCGAATGCTTAGAAATGACCTTAAAAATATAGTATCATAAAATCTCAACTCCTAGCGAAAATAAGGGGACTTTCGCAATTTAAGCATTTATTAATTATCATCAAATACCAGTGGGTATGTGACAAGCTCTTAGCCCTACCCTTCATCACCTATGAACTACCAACATTTTTGACTTCCAAATAAATTATAGCGTTCTTTCTTTGCCGTCTCTGCACTTTCTACCGTTTTCATTTACAAATAAATTATAGTGGTTTTTTGCCGTCTCTGCACTTCCTACCGTTTTCACTTACATACATTTAATTTCAATTGTAGCGGTTTTTCTTTGTCGTCTCTGCACTCCCTCCCGTTTTGACATACAAATTAACTGTTAAGGTTTCTTTGTCGTCTCTGAACTTCGTACCGTTTTGACATACAAATTAATTGTCGAGGTTTCGTGTACCGCTTTAACATTCAGATTCATTGTTCAGGTTTCGTGGTTCCTACCTTTCTGCCCAGAGCCTGAAGGCAGATGACGACGCTGTTGAGGTTCTGCCTCTCCCACAGGTCTACGGTCTGGAAGACCTCGGTGTCTGAGACCCCACAAGCCTTAGCCCCCGTCACGAAGGCGTTGATGTTCTCCATACACTTGAAGGCCATGGCGCTGGTCTGGATCTTTTTAACGGACCCAGGCTTCAATGTGTTGATCAGCCTGCACGATGTGACAAACTTTAGTGACCACATCAAAGACAAATTTCGGGATTTCATTTAATTTTCATTTCGTGGATTTCATATCCCGGAATAAGATTGCATTTGAATAAAGATTTTGAAAAAAGGTTTGGTAAATTTCACAGAACTTCATACAAGTTAACGGGAGCGAATGTCTCCTTTGGTACTTTATTAACCCATAGAAACTTGCTTCATTGTGAAATGATTACTCAATATCCGTCTAAATAGTGTGTATAATTAGTAATGCTGTCAGACAGAATGACGTATCATTCAACCATCAACAGAAATAGAAAAAATCATGTCCCATAAGTCGCTTCCTTTAGTCAACAATAAATAATTTTTTACTGTTTGTTTTAGCAAAGCTTTTTAATATTAGATTATAATATGAGAAATGTTCACACGAGCTTAGCCCAGCAGAGCGTCAGCGATAGAAATAGAGAAGGCGTCACAATATATATAAACAAAAGCTCGCATCCGGCCTGATAAGCCGTTCACTGATAAGACCAGCAACTGCAGTGGCTTCTCATCAGTGTCAACTCGTCAGCGATTTCAACTCATCAGCAATGGACAGAGTCATCAAGGCCAATTAACTCATCATCAGTAGAGGTGTTCATCAAGGCCAGCTCAATAGAGGTGTTCATCTACAATAGAGGTGTTCATCAACTAAGACAGAGTCATCAAGGCTAACTCATCATCAACAAAGACGTTCATCAAGGCCAACTCATCAGCAACAAAGACGTTCATCAAGGCCAACTCAACAGCAATGGAAACATCCTTTATATTTATTCAACATCAATCGACATGATAGATAATCATCACAATTATCCATAGTACGGTTTGTGTGCGTTGAATTGAGAGTTGAGTGAAGCGTACAATAGAGATGACAATGATAACTTGCTAAAGGGGACTTTCCGAAGAGGATTTTTGATTAAGTTTTGAGTGTGGCGACTTTATAGGAGTGTGGCGACTTTTGACGAGTGTGGCGACTTTTGATGAGTGTGGCGACTTTTGACGAGTGTGGCGACTTTACATGAGTGTGGCGACTTTACACGAGTGTGGCGACTTTACACGAGTGTGGCGACTTTACACGAGTGTGGCGACTTTACACGAGTGTGGCGACTTTACACGAGTGTGGCAACTGTCGACAGCAGCGATGGCATGCTAGGCCGCGCTGTGCATGCAATACTAAACAACAGACGCCGGCCACCGATGTTGTGCTTCTGGTATATTGGAATCACTGTTGATAAACCGGATATAACAACAGACGGAGAGAAAACAACAGACGGAGAGATAATAATAGGAGAGATAACAACAGACGGAGAGATAACTACAGACGGAGAGATAACTACAGCATGAGATATAACAACAGAAGGAGAGATAACAACAAAAGGAGAGAAAACAACAAAAGGAGAGATAACAACAGATGGAGAGGTAACACCAAACGGAGAGAAAACAAAAGACGGAAAGAATCCAAGAGACGAAGAGATAACAACAGAAGGAGAGATAACGAGAGACGCAGATATAACAACAGACGGAGAGATAACATCAAAAAGAGATAACACAATGTGGGTTGTGCAACAACAATAGTGAAAAGAGGTGTCCCTATTTGAACAAAATAACCCGTTCATATTTCCAAGTTATTGGTGTGCACTAGTTCGCTGGGATTAAATAATGATCATCATTTATTTCCAAATAAAGTTTAAATTTTCTTAAGAAATTTTGCGTTGTCATCACTCAGTGGCATAATACACTTTTTTCTTATTCAAAAATCATCATCAAGATCTTTATGAAAATCCATTGATTCAACATCTATTTAACTAATAAACAAGCAAGAAATGCCCGCACTACACTATAAATGATCTCATGACGTCGATAAGGTGTGTAGACCATCAATATATGGTGGGCATATATAATAAATATGGTGAGAAAACCGTTAATATGGCGAGTATAACATCAATATGGTGAATAAAATCAGTGTAGCGAGCATAACAGCAATATGATGAATCTACAATAGACATGGTGTGAGTGTGGAGAACATACTACCAATATTGACCATCAATACCAATATTCATCAATATCAATACCAATATTCACCATCAATATGGTGAACATACTGCAAATATAGTGAGCATACTATAAATATGATGTTTAAGGTCGACTCGAGTTATGTAGCTGTTTCACTGCGCAAGTTGTATTACAAGAACATCAACAAAGAAGGTCGGGAAAAACAAAAAATTTTTCTAGCGGTTAAACGCCAACAAGACGACAAAAGCGCTGAGGTGGCAAGAAGAAAGCAGCGTTGGCATTACAGAAAAATAAGAACGAGGAAGAGACTGGCTGGAGAAAAGCAGTAACAAAGAACTAAGAAGGAAAAGGTAAATGAGAACAGGAAGGAACACTAGCCCGTTAATTGGCATATGTACGAAAGTTAATAAAATCCAAGCTACAGAACAAAACTTTACTCTGCAACTGATACCCGCAGTCAGAAATCGCGAGCTCTGTACAATGATTATTAGTTAAAATATATTATACAGTGGACTAAATATATATAATGATATACATATACAGTACTAAGGGTACATATGATTAGATTATTATACAGAGATTATATTATACATTAGATTATACAAAAAAATCTAAACTGCATTGGCGTTCTGAGGACCAAAGATAGCAAGAGACCCGCTGGTGAGTCACGACTTCAAAATAATTAAAAGAAAATTTATCAGCTATAAGTATATACCTCTTTGCAGATAATAGTGTTCCTAAATTTAAATGCGGATACATACATCGTCTTTAATTCAAATATTGCGAAGAATCCTAATCAAATGGAATGAATACCTATTACAGTTATCGTCAGCAGGTAAATGGTCGATACCAGCGAGCACGGTAGATAATTTGAAATAAAACAAATAAAAAAAACTTTAAAAAACCACGTTTTCTTAACGGACAAAAAAGAAAAACATTTACTCTTACATAACATTTAAGTTATGTAAAATGTTATGTAATGTTATGTAAGAGTAAGTGTTTTTCTTTTTTGTCCGTTAAGAAAACGTGGTTTTTAAACGTTTTTTTTTATTGTTTTATTTCACTATTTTTAGTTTTGTAAAAACCAGAAAAACGTGGTTTTTAAAAATATTTTTTAGATTTATTTATTTTCTACTTTTTAGTTAGCAATTTTAGCAATTCAAATCAATTTCCAGGGTTGGCAAGTGTGGATGTTCGAAAAAAACTCAATTCCAAACCGTGAATTTTTAGTGTTTTTTTTACTTGTAAAAAAATTAAAAAAAAAATTTAATTATTATTTCTGATAATCAAATATTGAATTGTTAGGCAGCATAAACATGCATGCCAAATTTCAACTTACTAGGATGTTTAGAAGTGCTCTAAATTAAGGTTTGAATTTTTGATGACAGACACACACGAAACGAAGTCAAGAAAAACGTGGTAAATAATACTCAATTTTCAGCATGGAAGCTACAATACATCGTTAGATCAGGACAGAACCCAGGCAACACAACTACTTTGATTCGCTAGGGAGCACCTGCTAAGTCAACAGGTGCAGGTGCCAACAAGAGAACACAATATCCTGGAACCATTCTTCACCAGCAGTAAAGAACTGGCTGCTGATATTCGTGTTGAGGAGACCATATTATCCGACCATCGACTAGTGGTGGTCGAGACAACAATTGGGATTGGGTAACCAGCCCAGACCTACATCTCGAGAGGGCCTGGCTCGGCTAAATTTTGATCATTGAAAACAGACTGGGAGGCCATTGGGAACGAATTCCTCGAAGTCGATTGGAGATCCGAGTTCGTGGAGTTAAATGCCGAAGCAATATAGAACAAACTGAGCGAAGTATTACTGCAGGTATGCGCGCGTCACACGCCGGGAAAACGACCCCCAAACTTATCATAATTCCAAGAGACAGACGAATCCTCATGAGAAAACGAGCGAGCATGAACAACCAGATAACGGCCGCCTCTAGGAATACGGAGATGCGGAGGCTGTAACATCTGAAGGAGAAAATGGAGGACACTGAACGACAGCTGGAAGACTCGCACGAGGCTGAAGAACAAGTTGCGGAGGCGCGAGCTGTGGCTGCCATTCGGGAGAACCCCAAATATTTCTACAAATATGCCCAGTCAAAGACCAAAATCAGAGCCACAGTGGGGCCTCTGATAAATAACGATGTCCTTATTGGAAACGACCGGGCCATGTGCGAACTGCTAAGAGCGCAGTTTGAAAAAGTATTCACCGACCCCCGATACTCAAGGCAGGAGAACAAAATTGGAGTCATTCAAGAACTTCCTGGGGGGCGGGTGCTGATGAACATTGAGTTCGAAGCACCGGATCTAGAGAGGAGTATCCAAGAATTATCGACTTATTCGGCTCACAGGCCAGATGGGGTACCTGCAGTGTTACTGTAAAAATGTGTCGGTGCAGTAAAGGCCCCTCGGAGTTTGCGCTGGAAAACATCATTGAGATAATGAAACGTTTCTAGTCCCTTAAAATTAGGACTAATAACCCAATCTACAAAGGAGGTGAGAGAGACAAACCCCAAAATTGCGGACCGGTTACATTAACATCACACGTAGTCAAGGTATTAGAGAAGGTTGTTGCCAGAAGGTTATGCTGGAGGAGGGGTCTATTTAACGTCTTAACAAAATATCTAAGACAGGGGGAGTTCGCCCTGGAGACCTTAAAGAGACGGCTGGACGTGTTTCTTAGTACAATCTATGATCGTCCCCCTTGTAACACTATCAGCGGCGAGAAGCAAGCAACAGCATCGTGCATCAGCTGGTCCTAAGACAGTAGCGATAGTCAGAGGCGGCGACCTATCGTGGCCTAGAAATGCTACGTCTGAAACATATACTAAGGATACAGTATTAAGTAGTACTTTACTCAATTGGTTGGTACACCGTACAGGAGTTACTTTAACAATCGCGCCGATTGTTACCGAAATCGATTAAATTACCGATTAAACGTTGAAAGTTACCGAAAAAAAATTAGACAATAAAAACTTAATAAATTATATTGGAAGGTTCAAAAACGAAAAGATGTTCCGCGACAATACGTAACTATTTTTTTAGTTGGCGCCCATAAAGCAGCTATAGGCGCTGAGAAGTATTTTCATTTCGATATTTTCTTATTTGTGGAGGGTGGCGGCGGCTCAGTACTAAAATGCAAAATGTGCTAAAATGCTAAGCGCGGCCGATAATTTAACTCAAATAAATAATAGGGGCCTTATACGTAGAGCGAAGCACTTCTTACCTTTATGTAGATAATCAGGACCCAGGTTGTTCCCCCAGAAAAAAGAACATTTATACGTGCTACGTCCGCTCTCTGCACGTGTTGTGAGTAAGAAAGTGCGTCACAATTGGACAATTTGACCCTTTCATTTGTGGTGACCCTCACTAATAGTGTCCCATGACCCTCACTGATAGTGACCCATGATCCACACTGATAGTGACCCATTATATTCATTACCTGCAGAGGACCTGGCCGTTCTTGAGGGTCTCGTAGAAGTTGTCTGCGTCGCCGCTGGTGTCGAGGTCCTCCTTGAGCACCTCCTTGATCCACTCCAGCACCTCCGCAGCCTGAGACTCGTCGTACTTTGCGTTCACCTGAAGGCAACAAACTCAATTACAAACATGAAAGTCGAAAGTTTTAGAATCAGGTGAATTTAAACTACAGAATACTAAAATATATATCGTATAGTTATTAATGTCGGAGTTGAAGAATACTTCAACGATACTTTTACTTTTTGTAACTTGTTCAAAAGAGATCTAAAAACTGGTATTTTAACCAGTGCCATACTTTCAAAATTCGCTAAGTGAACGTAAGTACTTACGCTATATTTTTTTGTCTATGATTGGTGAATTTGGCAAGAAAGGCCGTCAATGAACTTCCGATCTCTTGACTTTTTTTGAAAGTATAGGACACGAAAATAAAAAATTTTAGCGTCAGGTGAATTTAGACTACATAATACTAATATATATATCGCATAGCTATTAATGTCAGAGTCGAAGAATAGACCAGGTTTAGCCTGTCGCCGATTTTGTGACTTATTCAAAAGAGATCTATATAAGAACTGCAGTTCTATGGCATATTAACCAGGGCCTACTTTCGAAATTCGCTAAGTGGACGTAAGTACTTACGCTCTATTTCCATGTATATCGTATAGGTAGTTATTAATGTCGGAGTTGAAAAATAGGCCAGGTTTAGCCTGTCGCCGATACTTTTACTTTTTGTGACTTGTTCAAAGGAGATCTAAAAACTGGCATTTTGAGCAGATCTTTCCAGAGTAGCTACTATACTTTCAACAGGTCCGTGGGGTGATACGCACATTAAATCGGAACATGTAACTCTGTATATCTTTATCCATTCTGTTTTTGAACGCGTTCATACTCTGAGCATCAACTATTTTAACAAGGGAGACTGTTTCACATGTCGGTGACTCTAAGCGAAAAGACTCGTTCTGTATGTAATTTTGATCTTGCACGATACAAATGACAGAATACTAAATTAAGTCAAACTCTGGAGATTCATTCAATTGCAAGATACTAATTTGTATCTAATCTAGTTAGAGGACGAAATTAGAATGCGCAAATACTTAGCATTTGAAAAATAGATTGCGGAATATAGGTTTTAAATCGCACAGATTACTCGAAAACAAAGGTAGGAACTAGTGGAATTTTTCATGTCTGATAGAATAAATTAAGTTCTGCAGAAATGTAACTGTGACAAAATTCAGAAGCAGCGAATTTTAAATCTCCCAATAAAGTGGCGACTAGAGCGAGGAGATAAGAGAGGAAAGCGTTATCTGATAAACAAAGTGACATTTCTGTCGTAAGATAAATATAAATGAAGAATGCGTCATGCTGGATAAATAGAAATCAGAGAGATGGCACGGTACGTCATGTGGCACGATACGTCAAGATAACATTGCTCAACTTTTGAAACCGATACCGACACACCCAAATTGTTAGTTCCTATCCCGAACAATTGGATAATTATCAGAATCATCTAATCAATCTCGTTAGCCAGTAGTTTAAATATAGTGTTTCATTGAATAATTTTCGCATATTTTGTGCACATTCATACCTCGCAAGTCTAAGCTTTATGTTAACAATGACTTGACTTTTAACCTCGCGTTCCTAAACTTTAAATTAACAATGACTTGACTTTTAACCTCGCGTTCCTAAACTTTAAATTAACAATGACTTGACTTTTAACCTCGAGTTCCTAAACTTTAAATTAACTATGACTTGACTTTTAACCTCGCGTTTCTAAACTTTAAATTAATTATGACTTGACTTTTAACCTCGCCTTCCAAGAGTAGCGCTGCTGCTGCAAATTTCTTATCAGTGGCCTCAAGCCAAGACGTAAAATCTAAGATAATAAATTTATCGGTTTGAACGGAAGCTTAGTCAGCTGAATGAGGAACATTTATACCGGGCATATATAAAAATGAATTAAAGTCATATAAACGGTATTTTTAAATCGAATTTCAGAAAATACATCTGGGCTCGCGAATAATATATACTAAATATAATTGAAAACGTGCGTACTATAAATACAGTCATGAAATTACGGGGAAATTCAGCGGTATCTGAGGGTTCAAGATATTGACCTTTAAAGTCACACTAATTTTCATACCAGGTAAGAATACCATTAGGAAATGTTGAAAGATTCTCCAACATTTGTGACTGTGTGAAGTCTGCCGAGATTTGGTACATACCAGGTAGGAATAGCATTACCGTCAATGCCACAGAAGTCGCCATGAGAAACTGCACTTACCTCGCTACTTGTCACTAAAACCCATTTAATGCTGGTCAGAACTACGATTTGTCCCTTCTACGATCGCGTAGAAGGTATGTGGTTAAATTTATTTATTAAATAGATCGTTTCTATTAAAGACAGGCGACTTTAGTGCTGTTGGCGAAGTTATTGGCATGACTGTAGAACATGAGCATGGATTCACTTTCTAGGGGCAGCGGTTAGACGACGCTAAAAATTTCTCTGCCAAGCAGAACCGGTAAGATAGAACTGACTCAAATGCGCCTAGCAACGGCCTGCGTCCCAGAATTAAAGGATTCAATACGCCTTTTTATGGAGACTAAACTTAATACCAGTCTCATCTTACGGAAACGTATGTTTGCTCATTAGAAACAGATTATTTTCCGAGTCCGGCATAGCTTTTTCGCTGCAATTGGTGGAATGAAAAGCAAAGAAACGAGTCTCACCTTCGCGTGAGTCTCCGCAGCAAGACCGGATTTGGCAGCTCGGTTCATTTTTGGTCTTGTGAAGTGATGATGTTCAGAGGACAGAAGGTCAAGCGGAGACTTGTAATGCACGACCGCACACAACAATGACAGAGCAACGAATGAACTCCAGACGTACGCGGTCACCTCCTTAAATAGCCTTCCCGGACTCTTCTTATCTTCCTCTCTCGCACTCCGTTTTTATCTCATTCTTGCACGCTAGCTGATAGTAACATATGGATAGTGTGTGTTGTAACAACTTGTATCAATTTCTTGATAATCTTAGACTAGAGGCATATAAAAACGTACAATATATATTTATGTAAGAGATACCACAAATAACTATATTTAACAATCACAGCCATTTTAGATCACAAAAGAGAAATTAAAAAAAGTATCCGATCAACTCTGTGGAAGTTCCAAGATGCCAAACGAAATTCTCCCGAGGAAGCGCGACCTTTCAAGGGATGGTCTAAGGTTAGCCTTGGAATAAAGGAAGAACTTTACCATGAGAGTCTGACCTCTGCAGTATTTCAAAGTCATTGCCTAGTACCCAGACCCGATGATCCACGAGTGAAATAAGTTAAGTGTGAACGCTATTTAAATGTCATTCGAACGTGCATGTTGACTGACACTACGCCACGTTGCTATTAAAGGTCCAGTTTTACATTGCACGTCTCACGAACGGGCTCTCGTAACGGGTTAAGTAATCTTACGAACGGGCTCACGTAACGGGTTAACTAATCTTACGAACGGGCTCTCGCAACGGGCGAACTAATCTTACGAACGGGCTCTCGTAACGGGTTAAATAATCTTACGAACGGGCTCTCGTAACGGGTTAACTAATCTTACGAACGGGCTCTCGTACAACGGGCGAACTAATCTTACGAACGGGCTCTCGTAACGGGTTAAATAATCTTACGAACGGGCTCTCGTAACGGGTTAACTAATCTTACGAACGGGCTCTCGTAACGGGTTAAATAATCTTACGAACGGGCTCTCGTAACGGGTGAATCTTACGAACGGGATCTCGTAACGGGTTAACTAATCTTACGAACGGGCTCTCGTAACGGGCGAACTAATCTTACGAACGGGCTCTCGTAATGGGCAAACTAATTTTACGAACGGGCTAACTAATCTTATGAACGGGCTCTCGGATCATAAACGTACTAACTAATCTTGCTAATAAACTAACAAGTCTTACGAACGCGCTAAGTAGTCTTACAAACAGGTTAACTAATCTTACGAACGGGCTAATTTGCCGTACGAACGCACTAACTAGTCTTACGGACTCACTAGGCGTACGAACGCGCCGACTAGTCTTACGAACGGACTAACTTGCCATACGAACGCATTAATTAGTTTTACGAACTCACGTACTAGTCTTCCGAACGCTCTAATTCGTCTTACGAGCGCACCCAGCAGTCTTACGAACGCGCTAACTAATCTTACGAACGGGCTAGCTTGCCGTACGAACGCATAATTAGTTTTACGAACTAACGTACTAATCTTACAAACGGGCTAACTCGTCTTGCGAACGCGTTAACTAATCTCGCGAACTCTCTAACCCGCCTTACGAACGCGTTAACTAATCTCACGAACTCTCTAACTAGTCCTACGAACTCTCTAATCACACGAACGGGCTAACTAGTCTGCCCTTCAAAACGTTTGCTGCAACTTCAAAATTAGTCACTTGGATTTTAAAGTCTAAATGATATTTCAATAACGCTTAATATTCAACAGCTAGGTGGATTTTACCGTGAATGAATTCGAGTATCTCGCTCTAGAAAAAAAACTTTTTGGAAGCATTGCTGACATTCACGTTATTTATAACGTCGGATAAATTTAATAATTATGATTTAACATTCATTGGTTTGAAGAAGCTCCAGTGCTAATCAAGACGCAAGTCACGATCCATAGGTATTTCTTCTAAATGAATGTAACTATGTATGTCATGTTGGATAGCTCCAATGAATTACAAATAAATCTAACGTTGCGTAAGAACGTAATAATTATACGGCATGTAACCTAATATTTTACAACGAAGTTTAAGTTCAATACACCAGACGAACTTTCTCGGAAAGAAGCGGATATTGATATTAAATCACAATGATCGATGCCAAAGAAAAAATTAAAAATGAAAATACCTAAAACAATTGATCAACGCAGCAAAGCCCTTCTAAGGAATTGCCTACATTCTGACCATATAAGAACAATAATTATATTTTCTCAACGCTTTCACAACACGTGAGCAGTGCAGCCTCTAGAATAGGTCTGCCTCTATAGCAGGTCTGCCTCTAGTGCAGGTTTGCCTCTAGAGCAGGGCAGCCTCTTAAACAAGACTGCCTCTATAACAGGGCAGCTTCTAGAGCAGGACTGCCCCTAGAACAGGGCCGCCTCTAGAACAGGTCTGCCTCTAGAGCACGTCTGCCTCTAGAGCAGGTTTGCCTCTAGAACAGGTCTGCCTCTATTGCAGTGCTGCCTCTAGAACAGGTCTGTCTCTAGAGCAGTGCTGCCTCTAGAGCAGGTCTGCCTCTAGAGCAGGTCTGCCTCTAGAGCAGGACTGCCCCTAGAACAGGGCCGCCTCTAAAGCAGTGCTGCCTCTAGATCAGTGCTGCCTCTAATGCAGGTCTGCCTCTAAAGCAGGTCTGCCTCTAGAACAGGTCTGCCTCTAGAGCAGACCTGCCTCTAGAACAGGTCTGCCTCTATTGCAGTGCTGCCTTTATTGCAATGCTGCCTCTTAAGCAGTGATATTTCTAAAGCCTTGATATCTCTAGAACAAGGCAGAATCTAGTATAGGCCTTTCTCTTATCTCTTCAATTAAAATCAAATTGTCATTGTATTTGTTCTGTTTATTTCTATCCCTGATCCTTGTCTTAGACCCTAGAGGCAAGCCGTTGCAACGGGTAACCTGTCTGCCTAGATACCTTGTCTTAGACCCTAGAGGCAAGCCGTTGCAACGGGTAACCTGTCTGCCTAGATACCTTGTCTTAGACCCTAGAGGCAGGCCGTTGCAACGGGTAACCTGTCTGCCTAGATACCTTATCTTAGACCCTAGAGGCAGGCCGTTGCAACGGGTAACCTGTCTGCCTAGATACCGGATCTCTGAGTCATGCAAAGCCGCGAGAAATGTTAGCCGCGCCTCACATGGCGGTTACAGCCGTTGATTTCAGGTACCTTACCATGACAAGAGGCGCTACGGGTCAGGTCGTAGTCTCGACGATTTCAGTTAACGCATTTTCCTTGCCGGCGTATGTACAACCTCTTTTTAATTTCAATTAACAAATTTTCCTTGCCGGCGTATGTCCAAACTCTTTTTAATTTCAGTTAACACATTTTCCTTGCCGGCGTATGTACAAACTCTTTTTAATTTCAGTTTACGCATTTTCTTTGCCATGGCATGCGGCGTGCGTACAAACTACTTTTTGATTTTAGTTAACGCATTTCTTTGCTATGACATGCGGCGTATAGACGAACTCTTTTTGATATCAGTTAACGCATTTTCCTTGCCGTGGCATGCGACGTACGAATAAACTATTTCTAATTTCAGTTTACGCATTTTCCTTGCCATGGCATGCGGCGTACGAATAAACTATTTCTAATTTCAGTTTACGCATTTTCCTTGCCATGGCATGCGGCGTACGTACGAACTTTTTTTTACTTCGGTTAACGCATTTTCCTTCCCGTGTCATACGACGTATGTACGAACTCTTTTTGATTTCAGTTAACGCATTGTTCTAACCGTGGCATGCGGCGTACGAATAAACTATTTCTAATTTCAGTTTACGCATTTTCCTTGCCATGGCATGCGGCGTACGTACGAACTTTTTTTTACTTCGGTTAACGCATTTTCCTTACCATGGCATGCGACGTATGTACGAACTCTTTTTCATTTCAGTTAACGCATTGTTCTCGGCATGGCATGCGGCACACGACTGGTCAGTTCCAGGTCTTGTTGTTCTCAGTTAACGCGAATGCGGACATGTTTAAAAACCGGTGAGGAAAGCGAAGGCGGGCGATGAGAAACATCAGAGAGCTCACAAGATTATATGGTAGGGTCACAGTAGTTACTCCGAATATTGCTATCATTCATATAAAGAAAAGGGTTCAGTGGATCATAACAAATGAACTAATAAATTCAAGCGAAGAGAATAGACTAGCGACTATTAAAAATGAAGATCAAAAGCAAGGAACAAAACAAAAGAAAAAATTACGACGGAATATATGAGTCGCTTATACGGTATATATGAAGATCAGTAAAAAAAATACATAACAAAATACAGGGGAAAATAGACCAAACCAAACGAATGACATCATATCATTACAGTTCCAAGAACTACAACGCAGAGCGAAAGAAGTATATATGCACTATATAATGCGGTGCGAAAAATATATATCTAAGGTGGCAAATGACCAACAAAAATCAAATAAAAAAAAGACCCGAAACTCACCAGGTATTGAAATAGTAAACGACGAAACAATGTGAGAAAAAAACAAGATATACATACTCAAATACTCCTAGCAGAACGTGTATTGCGATACTACCATTCTAAGTATGATATAAATGATTTTATTCGATCATTTATCCTCCATGAGATAAATGATTTTCAAAATTATTTTCGAAATTCGATTAAACCAGCCTAGAATATCACTAGAATTTGTACTCGTAGAACAACATGTATTGCGATATTACCAATAAACGATAAACGCCTCTAACTGAGTATGAATGATTTTCAGAATTATTTTCGAAATTCGACTGAACTAGCCTAGAATATCACTAGAAAAGAACAACTAGAGTAAGGAGAACACTCGACCGAATATGAAAAGGTACCGAAGCGCTCAGCAATTCGTCAGGGTTGGAAGTTTCTGACAATATTTAATTTAATTGATTTTCAAAATTATTTTCGAAATTCGATTGAACTAGTCTAGAATATTACTAGAAAAGAACAACTAGAGTAAGGAGATGCATGGACAAGCCAGTGGTGACTGGTGCGTCTGGCGAGCACATGAAGCGTATGCATGAGGTCACGCCTCAGGAATGCTTGCTGAGCGACCGGGAGCTTAGGCACCTACGCCAATGTGTGCGTGTTGCACGGGGACAGTAGTGGCGGCCAGTAGTGGCGGCCAGTACAACTTTCAAATGCTAA